AACCCTAGGAGTTCCGTAGCGGTTCATTGTGGCCCGATTGGCATAGCATTGAACAATTTTGAAACAGAAGCATAGTTCCACAGTTTGCCTACCACTTCGTATCTGCGGATTTTACAGTCATCCAGCTTGAGTGAACACAAGGTTCGTGCATGCTATGTTAGTATGTTATGCTTGTTTCGATGATGTACTCGACCCTAATTGGATCACGGGGAATGTGTTGTGAGAAAGCTATTGTTAACTCAGTAATCTTGGATAATTTCCGGATTGACGCTTCCATTTATATACCTGTTGTTGGTAGTTGATCAGGTGGCTGTTGATCTGTTCGCCGAGCCCTGCAATTGATTTGCAAACGTTTTGTCAATTGCTAAGCTCGGCGACCAGATCGACGGCCACCTGAATAACTATCAACTAATACACCCAAGATACCAATATTCCAGCACATTACCAATATGCCTATTGTACTTAACTTGTCTGAACCGTAAATGACTGCCAATAAGAATGTCTTCCAAGTGGCACATTAATGTGTAATTCCAGAACAATTTGGGCGAATAATATCAATCACAGCGTATTTCCATAAAGGAAAATACTCAAAAGGTTGCTGAAAGCTCTCCGAGGCGGTCTGTGTGCGGCAGAATCAAAGAGCCTAATTCACTTGGCACGATATTCAAGATATCACAGCGTATTTCCATAAAGGAAAATACTCAAAAGGTTGCTGAAAGCTCTCCGAGGCGGTCTGTGTGCGGCAGAATCATTTGAAGAGCCTAATAAACGAGAGATTCGGTTGAGTAACCCGTGAAGACCAAAGAGACTTGCAGATGGGTGTATTTTTTGGCATCATTCTAATTTTGGTCCAGGTAGAACGTAATGTTGACGGAAACTCGGAAACTGCACCTGATGAACCTCAAGATGGGCGAAACCGGTCATAGACTGTGGAAAATTGTTCAGCAACCACGTGCGTATTCCACTACCGGTTTCATCCTTGTTTTTCGGGCTCATCACGTAGGTGCATCCCCTAAGTTTTCGTCAAACTTATGTCCTACTTGAACCCAAATTGCACTTAATTCGATTTATACACTCATTTGCGTGCCTATTGGGAGAGTCTCAATTCGAAGACCGATTAGGTGTCCCTATTGAATTCCAGCTTAATCTATTGTCTTTAATGTGTAGTAGACAGGCCGCCTCATGTTTCTTGAAGCGTAAACTTAGAACATAAGCAACTCGAGGACTACGCCTACTTGATGAGCTGCAAGAAGATGAATCCCGTCGCAGGTGTTCGAAGAGCTTTCTGCGAACTTTTGAGTGGTTACCTGTATTCTCATTTTATGTGTGTATGTATGGTGTCAGGATAATTATGAAGTCAAGTAAAAGATGATACTTGCTTTAAATTTGTTCTATTATTGTAGCGATTAAAACTAAGCCATTGGAATTTATGGCTTCTTGTAAACCTTTATTCTCCCGCACCGCGCAAGCGTGATATCTATTATCCTAACAGGACAAGATGAAACAAACGTTTTTCTTAGAGTTTCATCGTATTTACTGTTTTTCCTTCCCGTTGGTTGCATATACAGGGCAGCCATCCCAAAAGATTGCAGTACTTTAGTAGCAAACACGGTAAGTTTTCTGTGTACACATGATCCTCTCGGTAGTCTGGATCAATGTCTCCGAACAACAAAATGACGGCATTCTTCAGTTGCGTGACCGACACATAGACTATGAAACTCGTTTTTGCTTGTGAATACATGAACATTGTACTGTGTTCACAGAGTCTTCTTACTGATCACCTGATAAATCGGAAACCGTGAGAATCCTGTAAAGCTTATCTAAATTTAGATGTTCAGTAAGATCAATTAGCCTTTCACGCTTGCGTTTTCCTACTGCAGGAATAAGTCAGTACCCTAGACTGGTAGTGACTGGTCTCGCCTAACTACAGTGATTCCTCGAACGCTTCTTTTGCTGGACAAAGTTAGTGCTAGGTCACTGTAAATGAAACGCTTTGTTATACGTTGCCATTACAGTTTGCTGGCGAAAGAAAACCAACCCCGCTTTGTGATTATTTATGACGTCTCTTTCCATAATATGCGAAAGGTCCGACTCACTACTGTTTGCATGTGCAGCTGATATGAACACGTGAATGACGCAGTTGCCCGTGATCTCCTACAACCAAAAGCTCTGTGCAAGCGTAGCACGTTCGGAAATCAGTTGGGGTGACATTTAAGCCTTCGACGCATTTTTTATTGACCCGATACTATCTATGAGGTTGATCTCAATTCGACCTCAGCTTACTGAATTATAGTTTCTTCTAACAACCTCCTGACGCAGAGCACTTTTTTGGAATCTAAGTTAACTTTCCGAATTCCCTTTCCTGTCCTTAAATGAAGTTTGTGTACCAAGTAAAATATCTAACGTTGAATGCGTAATTGGTTTTCGGAAGGACATTCATACATAAGTTGGTTTGAGTTTTCCAAACTAGCCCGCTGCATTTACAGGAATCATGATTCCGAGTTTTACTGCACCGAGGAATAGTTACGCAGAAAAGACACGGAGTGCTGAGCCTGTCAGCCTGAAGATTTGGAAATGCCACACATATGCCTGGTTTTTACGTCACACTTCGTCAACTGAGTAAACCAAATAGCATTTTTGTGTGAATGAAGCGAAACTAGGTGTATCGTTCGATGTGTATTAGTTGCCAATCTGTGACCAGTAGTCAGTCTCCTTTTAGTGGACTATTCATTACCTAAGATCTCTTTGGGTGAAGGACGAACCTAACTTCCGTTATCAGGATTTTAGCCTGCCTAGTTGAACTCACTTTCATGAGTCCCCGAGTATTCACGTTCTGCAAAGTCGGTACATATGCTCAGGACTGCACCGATCCCATTTGTGTTATTTTGTAAACTGATAGGAAACTCTGCTTCCTGAGTGAATCTCACGATTCGGTAACAAGAATTGTCCACCTATCTGACAACGCTGGTTGGAGTAGTTTACCGGTCAATAAAGCTTGTGTCCTACTGAAACTTTCCCTCCACGAACACCAAAATTGCTTGACGGTTATCTACCTCCTTGGTTTTTGTTTGTTTTATGTGAGAAAGATATTTCCTGTAACATGGTCGTCCTTACAAGAATCCTTATTCTAACACTACCCTGTGCCTCTGCATAAAATGACCACTCATTTAATATGACCAAATCCGCTCTGTTCTTTAAAGGAATATGCATGGGTGTATGCAACCTATCTCATTTTTAACTGCCTTAACGTATCACAAAGGCACCGAAAACGACAGGTTTAGTTGTCTCACGTCAAAGCCAAAATAAATTACAAATAAATTGCAGTTGTCTAGTTCGCATCATCTGTAATCATTTCACAACGAATAAGTCTGAATGGTCACGCGGAATTTTACTTTGTTGATGATACGCCATCCAGCTATTTGAAAAACAAATGGTATCTCTATGCACCTGGTCGCATATAACTGAAGAGAACTTTACACCACAATGACAATTCGGAATTTGTTTCAGCCCCTGGAAGCCTGATTTCAGTTGATTAAGGTGAGACACCTGGTCACCCACCTGGGTCAGATTAGGTGTGCAGTCTTTTCATGAGTTTTGGACCTCGATAGATCCACAACCATTCGTCGCTCAATCAGAAGTAATAATGCGTTTACGGCCAGTGACTTCTGCATCCAAATAATGTCCAGCCTTTCTTGTCACTCTTACTTTGAGCGAGGCTGGCAACTGCTACTCACAGTTTTGTCAAGATGAACCGTTAGCGTTGCTGTATGATTCCAAAGTTACTGCTACATTCACCAGCCATACGTGTAAAATAGACAGTAATCATCGCACTGCATCGCTAGGAGAAACCCCACTCCAGCCCACCATTGCCCTACGGCGAGAAAAGCTATAAATCACCCAAAAGATAAGAAAGATAAATAAAAAATGGCGATTACAGTGCGGTCCTCTATAGATGAACTATGCCTAATCCGTGTGTGATTTTCGGTGCCACATATCCAGGCGAAGACTCATTTCAAGGCCGCAAACACTGCAGATCATTTTTCCATAGAGTAACTAGTGTTTTAGACTTTCCGGGTGCTTCGTCTGGTTGTCTGCTCACTCAAGTAGACTATTTACTGATACCAGTCTTCACACACAAATGTACAGTTCCAACGTTTGTGCATCAAAAACTCCATCATTGGTTTGTTCATCTTTCCTTCTACAAGATACTGAAAACCATATGGTCCTGCCACCAACCGAGGATGAAAGTACACAAAATGAGGAAAATTTGCCCAACTGGGTGACGTTTCCAATAGAAGTATGGGCGTCATGTGGTGAAGAATTTGTTCCACTGCACAGTGAGTGCCCGGTCTTTTAGTTGTTTCGATAAGGATATGAAAAGCTGTTCCTTCATTTCAAAGTACAATGACTCCCCTTCAAAGATAACCCTCAATAGACAGAAAAAACACTCCCGTACGAGGAAACCCTCTATAAATATCTGGTTTTCTTTCTCTTGCATTATTGTATCTTAAGCACTCATCAATGCAACCATAGTTTTTTCCATCTTCAGTCGATAGTGAATGAGCTCATTCAAGCTTTTTTAGTCGTTCCACTCAAATTTACCATGCCAAAACAAATTCACAGTGAACGACATAAGCTATCATGATAGCCGTAAAGTTCAGGTGGGACCGATTCCATCTTCTGGTTTTTTCGAGTCGCTCGTCATTCGTCGACCATGCCGATGAGCTGGTAGGGACATACGGTGTGTAAATTTTCATTGCTTTTTTGCACCTGTTACCGTCAAACTGTGCACTTAGAACCAAAAGTGTATCACAATCAGTCATCCCATTGTTATTGCTTAGCGTCAATTACTCGGCCTCCGCAGCTTATATGGTTACGTAGCGCTCACTAAATGGAACATATTTTGGGCTTCATTTTCTCCCTCTGCCATACGAGTGATTTGAAATCGAAATTATGTTTCACCATTTTCTGATAACAAGTAGGGTTATCTAAATTAGCGCACATTTTCAAGCGGAATTCATTTTCACTCGGTTCTGGGCTGGCCCGCCCCGACAAAATCGTGCTAGATGTAGATAGCTCTTCCATGCAGTGTTCCTTGTTTATTGGAAGCCATTTTTATCATCTGGAGTTGAGTCACCACCCCTAACAAAATCTGTATAGAAGCATGCGCCCAGAATTCCTCCGAAGTTAGTCACGACAGTGTACAATCAAGTAGCCAAAAATAGTGATGAATATTGATACTACCAGTTGGGCGTTTCGACTGAGTACTACGTCACTCTTCGTGAATAGAAAGTTAGTTATTTCAAACCGCAGAGAAAGAAAAGGTATTCCAAACTGCACACACTGAGGCAAGTAAAAAATAGGACAAATTTCATTTCGTAAAAGATATCATCCCTCACATAACAACATCTCAATCCGATTTCTTTAACTTAGGCTTGAAAAACCATCTCGGAACTCATAACAAAACCCACCTTAGGTATCTCCATGAAGTGATACCTTCTCCCAACAAATATTGAGGTTTAACGTTCGTATCTTCTGTTTCTCTACGGAAGGGCACCAACTACAATTCAGAAATTTGTTCCCAAAATCATCGATGATCCTACACATGATTTTTAGCTATGCGGGCTTCAACTAGCGTAGCGAACTCACAAAAACAAGGCCCCCCGAAAAGGGGTAACTGCCATGAAGAACGTACATTTACGTAAAGCGATAGATAGGATAACTTTTATTCTGACAGTCAGCTATAATGCATAAATTTCGCAATGCACCCATCAGAGGAAAATCGAACCTAACCTAAGAAGCGCGGCAAAGCTTGATGATCAGTTACTCGTCGTCACTCAGGATCGTTGAAATATTCGAGATGGCCAGAGGGGACGTTCCCAGCTACTCGGCTCGTAATGATTCTCTACTGAAACATAGTACATATGAAGTAGAAACGTAATGGTTTGAGTTTTCCGAGCAAATGACCCACTGAAAACCTTTTAGGACCAACCCGGTGGTGAGCTCTATCGATCCATATCTAATGTCACAATGACGGGAAAACTAAGAGGCATTCAATTCCCGTCGAAGTAATCGATTGAGTGCCTGATCTGTTTTTACGTGATAGCTGATGAATCTGGTGACGAGTGCCCTACGAGGAATCTTTTTGTTTGAGCTTCAAAAGACAGATATGTAGGTCTGTTTGGAACCATTCAAGTAACATTCATAGCTAACTGTTGAAGCTGTTGTCACCATACAAGTGGCCAAATCTGTGGTGACTTATGACCACAAAATTTTGCAAATGTTTCTTTAACTTACATCTGGTTACTGCAATAACTAAATTCAGGACTAGAGATCGCTAGAAAAGACTTGGCTTGTGGTTTATCTTTATAAGCCATCCAGTTGAGGTCTGTACATTTTTAGCGTAAGCTCTTGGTATCAGGACGATCAGGGTCATACTAGATTATGAAACCCATATAAAGCTTCGGTATTCGCAATTCGGACCGACCGGTGTTCGTTGGTAGTGTGAGGATATTTGTGAGTTGTAACGTCCTGTAAGTGAACATATTAGAAAGCCTAGAAGTACTGTATAGCTGTTTCATCTTTATTAGAAATCATCAGCAGTGTGAGTTTCACAAAACTCCAGGCAGTTTTCAACCCACAACCCCCGACCATTAGTTTGGACACCATCGTTCAGTCCCTAGTGGCCGACCAGAACTGTGGATAACTCGAATTTCGACAGGATATAGCGCTATTCATGGTTCAGTCACGGAGTCCACATCACACCCTCACTTGGTGACTGGCTCCTCGATTGCCTACCCCTCAGAAGAGCTTCGCTCATCACGTGGATTTTATTCTTCCACTGAGCCACTTATGGATTGTTAGTAGTGTGATGTGTTTTGGGAATCCTCAATAGCGAGTTGTTCCTGTTAGTGAGGCTTCGAAGGACCCTGAAGTTTGGTGGGTTGCTCACTACTAGTGATCCCCAATAAGTATGTGACACCTGTACAGTGCTTGTAGGCTTTTCAACATAAACTGGTTTCATTTAAAGGACGAGATTTCCATTCACAGGTCTGCTATTGGACCAAGCATAGCTAGTTGGATTTCTTCCCTGAATGGTAAGTCTAGGGAAATCAACACCTTGCAACTAAGTGGGCCTATTTTAATCATCTCATCCGCATTAGCCCTTAGGAAGTGACTGGAACACAAAACCATTTATATTCTACCAAGAAATCCGTAAGACGCGCACTGCCAATGATCTTCAGAGAAAGATGTACCAGCTGTACAGTGCTGCCAAGCCTTTCAAAATAGGTTGGCTTAACTGACCGGACTAAACGCGTAATCCATCTGTCTTCCACCAGTCCCAAATTACAAACTCCAAGTGAAACGAGCGACTGATGCTTCTTCTACCTTGATTTACTCCGAAACCTCGTGGAATTTTTAACAACCCACTTACCATAGCTGAGGAAATGTTTTATCAATCTTTGCCACAGAAATTTACGATGACTCGGAATGGATCAAAAGTCGACTGGAGGCAGAAAAGAAGGCGGATGAGAGTTCCGCTCCAATTACTTCTGATTCATCCACGTCATTCAACAGTTTGAGAGTGAGTCCAAGTAGATTTGCTAGCCGAACACCCGTTTCTTAAGTTTTCTAAAGTCAATCTGCTGCATACTTCCAAAGAGTTACCGACACCCACCTTTTCGTTCGGTTCTCATTTCGCAGGATGACGGATCTAACAGCAGACTGCAAGACCCACAACCAGCTCCCGAACGTCCGAAACCAAACTTACCCCTCACTGCCCCGGTTTACAAACAACCTCAGCGTGTGAGTTAACCTGCTCTGTCACACAAATACCTGATATTCGAAAAAAAAGATTTATGTAAGATACTTCATCCCCAATGTGGCAGCAAAACAAGTGACATGGTAGGCGAAATTCTTCAGTGCAATATAAGGTACAATGGATTAAGGGCGCACCCATTCAAGCAGGCTGAAGCCTCGGTAAAGCTGTTCCCGTTACGAGCCTCTAATACAAAAGAGATCCAACAGTCCCTTATCCCTTGTTCGTTAACTTGGATACAATCTTGGAGATGGTAAATTGCGTAGGGCTACTCGTTATTCCACAAGAATTGACACGTGTCCGAAACGAGTTACGTGTCCCTTCCAGATGCAGTGAATGGTTAATCCAAGTTTGACTCACTAGTCGGCCACACGGATGGCAAAGAGGTGCTGGATTCGTTTGACTGGATGTAATCAGAAGAGGTTTTTGATGATAAACAGGTCTCGCTTTCCAAATGGGTTTGCTTACTTCCTTCAGTATGAAGCGGATGAATAGTTCATCATTTCTGCTCATCCAGGAAGGCTCCGGATGTTGGTTAGTGAATTCCGTTGAACATCACCGGATAGGAAGTGCAACGCTTGCCGAATCTAGGATCTCACATTCATCTATGTTACCTCACTTTTCGGTATGGATAAACTGTTGCTTTTACTATATTTGAGCACCCAAACCATGGAAATGTATAGTATCTTCACGCAAGAATTTCCAAAAAGGAACACTCTCAGGAGCTTGTTCGTAGGTGTGCCTTCTTAACTCCCATGAAGTTGTCATTCATATTCTTACAAGTTTTGGAAGTGACTCTCTAACCCGAGTGAAATGTATCAAATTCCATTCAATGGACTGATTGACCCCCTCAAAACGGAATGTTATCTCCCAGCGTTAGGTGACCTTTTTGTGTAAACGTCAGTTCCGGTTCACAAACGATACGGCAAACCAGTTCAAGTAATGAATGAGCTCATGACAACAGGACGATGAAAGAGCTGTTTTGTTAGATGATCTCTTGTATGTCATTCTGCGATGTGCATCAAAGGATTGAGAGCTCTGAATGCTGACATTTCCGTATATGAAGATGATGGTGGTGGTAATTGAATCTGTTGTGATCTCTTCGAAGAGGACCTGTCACAGGAAACGGATCACTCTGAACTGTCTAGGGAGCAAATCATCTTCAGGGAATAACATATTTAATCCAGCATCGGTGTATTAGGCTTCTGAAAACTGCGAATCAAATTCGGAACTTGCAAGATATTTCCTTCCAGACTATGTGGTGTTCTTGGCTTGATTTTGTTTCCTTATACTGGTGTCCCGCGACTGGCACTGCACCTCCTTATGTCTTACCAAAATCCATGATTGTTACTCTGAAAGAACTCGTTGGTAACCCAAGAGCCGGTTAGCTACCATGTGTATGTGGGTTTTGTCTATTGACGTATGTTTTTCAATAAGGAATCCGTCAGGATTAGCGAATATACACTCATTTGCAAACTAATTTGGTTCTTTCGAGAGAATCACCTGGAACCCAGCTGAATCTCTCGTTTACGATGTTCTCAGGCAAGTAGAACATAAGGTTGACGGAACCCCCGGGGACTGCGCCTACCTGATCAGCCCCAAGAAGGGCGAATCTGGTCGTGGGCTGTCGATGGATTTTCAGCAACCTTATGAGTAGTACATAACAATCCGTCATGATCTTCATGGGTACCACAAATTACATTAGTACCAGCGATGTCGTATCCTAAATCACTATTGAATAAAGCCGTAAAATCTGTTTACCTACTTTTCTAATCGCTTCTCTAGTGCATACTTCTGTTGTAGGTAAAGGTTGTCCCAAGGTCACATTTCCAACATCCCTTTTCGCCACACCAGTGGTACTGCAATTGAACTATGAAGCTCAAGTTCGAAACTAGCCGATAACCACCCGGGGCTGTACAGATAAGCATAGGTCCCCTGTGCAGAGAATCAACGGAATTGAAAAAATAAACTGGAAAGTAGGTGTAGACAAATAAGCATTTGCAAGTTACCGCAGTGTCAATGGAGAACTCAGATAAACCTCAGCCGGAATTGAGTGTTTGCCTCATTTGCTGCCCAAGTATAGAATGAGCTTAACAAATAGCTAGGACTCAGGTTTGCCTGAAATCAGGAAATGACGAAACTGAAAGCAGGCCGTCAAAAAGTTTTGGTATTCCAAAACCAGCAGGCCACTGTAAGTACTAAACTAAAAACTCCTCCCACTTATTCCATTGTTTTCTGAAGTTGATGGGACATAAGAGGGTGTTTCACAGCTTTCTAGTTATTTTCTATTAGTTGGAACACATAAGGAATTCTGATCAACCTTTGAAATGTATAGTTGTGGATTTAACCTTGAAGAGTGGCTTTGCCATATGAACGTCACGTATTTATCTTGTGATGGATTCAATGAAGAAGAAATACATGATTAATGGAACACAGCCGCAGAACCTACTTATACTGCTGGGAGGCTAGTGCATCGACCACCATGCTCCAAGCTGAAAGCAATTTATTCAGTTACCAGAGACATCTGAATTGCACATCAGACTAAAGTATTCACACCTTCAAAAACCAGAAGAAACTGGCTATTTCACACGGCTATGCAGGGCTGTAAATAAAATATACAGCCACCTCCAGCTGCGTATTTTCAGAAATCGTAATTTAATGTTTCATTTAATTTATCCTCCTGCATAATCTACAAAAATTCTACAGGAGTAAATTCCACGGTGGACAGCTTTGTTGTCCTTCTCCGCCCGTGTTTGTCATCGGAGATTTTGTCCAATTTGAGAAGAAAATGTGCACCAAATTCATGCTTTTTTAACTATTTGCCGTCAGAAACGAATCTTTGTTTACAAGAACCGCGAAGTCCCGTCAAAGAACGTCTTGGTGTGGGGGGACAATTTGGATGCGATGATGCAAGATGCATCCTCAAAGCTTGGTTGTACAAAGAATCCCGATAGGTTTTGCACTCTGGATGGAAACCGCGTGAGTTCCGCCCATGTTCAAATACTTACCCGTGGTTAAATGACATATTTGTGGGTCTATAAGACGATTCGTCTAAAGAATGTTTGATAAGCCAGTCATAAAACGCCTGTAATCAGATGTTCCTCCATCTGTTAGTCTGGTAGTTCCTAAGTCATGGTTAAGAAAATAAATGATATGGTGACTTGATCGTCTCCAAAGCAGCACTCCTATTCACCTCGGTTCAAGAACACAAATGCGCAGTGCCACCGACTGATCACAGCCCACAATCGCCGTGTTTCTGTGTGTGGGGAAAATATCCTGATTAAGTGCTCCAAACTTCAGGATGTTAGCATATGTGATCAGGTGGATGACACGATCTGTTTTCAGGCACTCGGTGAGCTTTTGCTTAAATGAGCCAACCAACAAGACCGTTAATACCTCACTTAGCAATAAGTCGATTGGTTGGGAACATACTAACGAGAGCTTTCGGAAATAAATCAGTCTAAAATTAAAAAACGGACCGGAAAGCGTTTCGGACCGTGTATGCTATCCCAGTTTCCCATCAGGGTACTCAAAAAGATCTGGGTGCCTGCTGCCACATGATATTCAACGGTTTGGACTATCCTATTCTGTACTGAATCGATTAATGGTCAGTTTGTCATTCCCTGGTCTAAACAATCACATTGCAAACGACAAGTAACGCAGTATTGGATTATCCCGCGGGCTACTGATTGTGCATGCAAAACAAACCCTCGCTTTGTAGGGAGATTCCAAAATTTCGGCGTCTACCGCTCTGTGGTGGCTTTTTACTCCATGAAGTCCACCTTTTCCTATTTATTTCCGCAGATAAACCAGCTAAAAGACTTGAGACAGGATCAAATTGTTTGTCTTGTTTGCTGTGGTGAACGATTTATTGTTCCTAAGGAGATCCGCCAAGCACAAATAAGTGCCAACTGGGTTAGAGCTCGTCGCAAATACGGTCCCGAGGCTACCGATATCGTCGTGCAAACCCGTACTCATCCTTTTGTCAATGTGGATCCATTTGAGTTGCCAAACTTTGCACAACAAAAACAAAGTCAACAGCAACAAACCAATCAACGTGGAGTGACTACCGAGTTGGTAAGCTCTAGCTACGTTAAACATGAATGAGAAAATCGAGAGTATTACAGTCCGCTTTTGGTCGCACGCAGTGTCGAACAAATAATTGGTGAAACCGTATCTCGACTAATGTCAGACCACAGGACGTGATAGGCTAGCTCATGAATAGCTTGAATGCACCATATTGAAAAACACGTTTGATGTCGAGCCCATATATTTTTCTAATCAGTTTGCCGTGGACACCCTGTCGGTTTGTTCTTTGAAAACTGTCCGTCGTTTGTCAGCTCTTTACCTGGCCTCAGATGCCGATTATTTTGTTACAGACGTTTCATCAGTATCTTCGCAAAATTCCAGATCATGTCACGTGGATGAGAAATCCTATAAGGAGCAGAAAAGGCATTGCCTCAGGTGGAACCATGTGATATTACGCTGGTGGTGCGTGCATTGAAATGGACTAGACATCCGTAAGCTCTTGAAAAATTAGAGGAGAAATATAGACATGTTTGGGAGTAATATGGGATGGAACCGCACAAAAAATGTAAATGAGTCATCTGCGGAGATGAATACAGTTCCAATGAACTCAGGGCAGAAAATGGGGTTGTGATATCCGAATATCAAGTGGATGTTACGCCGCACAAAGATGGTAGCATCCTCGGTGATATTAAAGATAAGACCACGTTAAACCGCGAAAAAATCCTGAAAGCTGTTGATTGTTTACATGGTTGCCATTGTACATCTCTCTTATTGCACTCTTGGGACTAACAATGTCCGAGTACTGGCGCCAATTGGGGATACGTCCACCAAAACAGCCATTATCAACCGTCATTCCCGAGCTTATTCCACACGCATTCTCGCCTACATCAGCCACCAATTAACCCATTTACGTTTTGATCCATATCATATATCATATCATTCAGCTGTAACACCCTTCCGGTGTCTAGCTGCCACGCCACCCGAAGCAGGCACGAGGGCTAGGATATTGCCAGGTTGCCCAAGCCTAGACAGGCGAAATCGAGATGCAGATGTAGGATTGGAGCCACGGACCTTCCAGTCGGTAAATTCACGCTTTAACCAATGCGCCATCTCGTCCCCCTGTTACGATTTCATCCATATCATTCCTCCTATTTTGTATCAGCCTACTGATGCGCTCACCGTCGACTTAATATCGCACGATCCCACTTGAGACAATGACTGTTCTACGTCTTATACGCCTCTCCACCCATGTGATATGATTCTTTGCAGTTTTGCGACGCTGGTCGCTCTAAAGTGTATGTGACATCATTGGCGTACCTCTTAAAGTGTGACCGGAGTGCCTTTACACATAGCAGCTCACAGTATGAGTCTGGCCCTTTTAATTTGTCGAGGTTAACCAAAATCGTTATTCCACCCGGGGAATGCGTCTCTACCGCAAAACCATAGCCGTCAAACAGTCTACATTATCTGGAAAGGAAAAGTCGTGAGTGAGACTTTGGAAATGCGAGTAACTGGCCAGTGGCTTATTTAATCTACACAGGATATGATGCCACTGGTGCTTCAGTCACAGCGCGAATCAGGTTGCCTATATTCCCAAGCAACAACCTGGCAGAGTCTCGTCAGTGTTTTGTTGGATATATTTGTTTCATGGTGCTATAAGGACGAAAGTTCAAGCGTCCGATCCTGCCATATATCCAAGCCAGAGAGCCTGGAATTATCACGTTCTTCAGAAGAATGGAGATAAAACAAGAGCCGTTGTATGACTTAATGCTTTAGTTTTCCAGGGTGATTGTATCAGTGTCCGATGCCTCAAAACAGTGTTCAGGTTTTCATACGAGCTGATGCAAAGAACCTTCAGAACTTGCCAGTCCAACTTCTACTCTCTCAATATTCTATCACAATAAGCTTGCTCAAATCATAATGATTCGGTCGAGGTATAGACACTTTCCGGCTACGAGTCACAAAATTGGTCCTGGTAGCTTATATGACAGATGACACCCCGAATGGTACGTGCCAAAACCTTCACTTCACACTTTAGTGATTGTGTACGAGCCCAGATCCTGCTCATTTTTACGAGAAGCTTGACAAGCCATACGCCCATAATCAGTGTGAGCCCTTAAAGTGCTTCCAGAAAGTTCGGTTTGTTCAAATATGCATTTGTTGACCCCCGAAATGAATGAAATGACCGCACAATGCTTCCTGAGAGTCACCAGAGGACGCAGTCACTAGTAAGTATATGAAGACGAACTGCACGATTGTACAGATTAATGAAACCATGTCCAGTCATGCGTTCTATATAATCCCTCCGCTTAAAGGCCCAATGTGACGTTGCTACATCGGACTGAACTGAACTAGAGTTACTGAAACATTCCGGAATGAGGGCAACGTCTATTTCCATGGATCATTTCAACCCAATTTCCTGTACAATTTCTAGCTGCAGCGCCTAATTGCACTTTCCCACTTATGACCAACACATAGTAAAGCATCAAATTAAAGCAGTTTCAAGTCAAACCTGATTACCCAAACCATCAGACTTGAAAACTGCATTTATTACTCTCCGAAGGCGCTATGTAAAATGCGTCCAGAAACCAAACGGATGATGAGAAAGCCTGACAGCTGAGGCTCTAAGGGGAACTTTTGAGGTGACAATTATTTATTTACAGAACTAAAGACCCACCTAAACTCTGGCCAACTGGGGTCTCCGCATAGTTGAGCTCAGCTCTAAATATTTACCGGAAGTTCAGTTACCGAAACTCTCATTCTTCACAACGCGGGTGGCCATATGTTGGTTGACACTGTAATTGTTTGTCATGTCTGAAATTGGCCTCACCAGCGAGGTGCATTTTGGTAGCACATCAAAAAAGCATGTAATAATCTAGTTTCCGAAGAACGACTGAGCCACATCTTGGTCAGCATAGTTTAAGAGTACAGACAGCCAAGTGTAACAATGTTGTTTTGTTAAATATCCGGTGAAGATTTTCAGAAAAGTTTGGTAACAGTTGGTGGGATTCACTGTTGGGCAACGTTTCGCTTCTGACTCAAAAGCTTCGTCAGGCCAAGTGACTAGGTTACGATGTTGGTCGAGATTTGAGGCGGAAGGAGGACCAAACAGCTAAGTCAAGCTAAATCTGTGTCAGGTGTCGGCCAAGAGATTTTTTGTGTTAGGATGGGTCATCAAGTGTTGCGCCAATGGGGAAACCTATATAGATTTGGGTATAGCTCAGGGTCTAGTTCTTTCCGTTCGGTTCACGTGATGACCCTTCTTGAACGTCGTCTGCACTTTCCGACTGTGTGGATAAGCTAATGCGTGACGAACCGGAAGAACTAAACCCTAAACTGTACCCAAATCCGGTAAAGACGTTGCGTACGTCGTCTAATTATGTGTCCATTCGAAACCCTACAGGAACGTAAATATCACCTACGTTTGCGCACGAATGACTCACGGCGTAGAGCGACAAACAGCTCAGTGTCGAACAGCACCTATTGAGGAGCTGACAATCATTATTTAACAAAGGTAGTTATAAGCAACCAATACAGTCTCAGATAACTAAGCAGAAACCAACTTTTCAAAGTTGTACATCGAAGATTAAGGATGCTTCTAATTCGGCCATTCAATCATCTAACATATCGACGATGATTTTATCAAATTTGCTTATGTGTATGTAAAACGCCGGGGATGATAAGCCCAAAATGATTCTCCTACCAATCCATCCGCATAGGCATGAACACAAGATCGTCTAGTTTATTCATCTCGAGATAGATTTAGTCGGATGCCGATGAGTGTCTTTTTCTGGGCACAGGCTAATGCCCCCAAACCTCGTGGTGGACAAAACCCGCCATACTAACTTGTAGCTCTCGAGATTCGGGCCCTATGTTCCGCACCAGAGCAAGCAAACTTTTGCAATACTGAAGCAGGGTTCTTATCTTACGAAAGTCTGTGAGCAAGCTAGAAAGTAATTCTGGCAAGCCCTTTTACAGCTCAGGCAATTTTTCACTGAATCTTTTGTGATTGTCCGTAGAATGGCCAATCGTGGAGGAAGGAGTCACCAATGGTTAACTCAAAGAATCGAAAAACATACGGTGAGCAAAATATGAGGGATCTGAACCACAGCTACCAATGAAAACTATTCAAACCTAGCAAGCTAAGCTGAAACTGCAGGTAGTATACCACCCCGAAACTGAGTTTGCATGAGTAGGATTGCTCAGCACAGCGAGGAGAAAAGCTATAGCAGTGTGGTCCCGTTTACGCCTGAATGACGAAAAGTCTCTTGCCACTGGGTTTTTCGAATTTCGCTACCATGGTTAGGAGCAGAGTGCATTCATATCTATCTCCCCTTGCCATCGAATTCAGAAAGCGGTTTGATATACTTCTTGGATTAACTGATCAGTTGAATCACATCATCTCCCTGACAGAAACGTGTGTACGTTTTTGAGAACGGCAAACCGATCGATACGGCGCAACCTATAACCGGAAGCTCACTGGGTCAGTTACTGGGGCGCGTATACATGATGTTCCGGTTGCCCCAACGACCTGTCTGCTTCTACACTCCAGAAGGAACCAAGGTAAGTTGGATATTTGCCTTCACTCCTCCTGCTTCCTTCGTAGTCGAAACCAAGCCACTCACAACTAAAAGCGGAGCACATTAATACGCCAGGATTTATTCGATGGTTTATGAGCGAAATACACAAAAATTATGGCCATGTTTCTAGACTGTTATTTTTTATTATTTTTATTTGATTCGATTTTATTAATTTTCATTTAGTATGGTCGCCGTGATCTAGCATGCCTGCTATATGGAAAGAATGCTTATAACCAGTTCACAACCTCTCTTGTTTCATTATTGAAACAAGAATGAAACTGATCAGGATAGTTTCGGAGACAGTTATATATGATTGTATGCCATCTCCGGGTAAACGACCGATTCAGCGGCTGTTACCTCTACCTCACTCACTTAAGTTCAACCAGTAGATTGTGCTATTCGATGTAGCCGGTTTCTAGGATGCAACTAACTGGCCCCATGAAGACTACCGTAGAAACATGCTATAACTGGAGTCCGAGTTTTAAAAAGCTGAAGACAAACGGGCGATCAGTGACGAGATGCGTACAAGGATAAGCTCATAGATCAAAGTCAAAATGACAACGAATCTAAGTTTCACGCATTCTAGGCAGTCATTCTCGGCCGATCCATCCTCTAATGCACTCCTGCTATGAAGTATTCTTGCTGACTTAGAATCTTGATGGGTCCAGATTGCTGAAGAAATGGAAGGAATAAGTCCTGGAATCTGTAGAAGCTATTTTAACTGGTACGTGCAACAGGCTCACGAAGGCCGCTAGTGAGAGAAACGGTAAAAGGAGGTTGCTCCAGAAAAGACCAGCTTAATCGCCGGACAGAACATTCTAAACCAATGTCTAGCAAAAACCACCACCTATTGTTCGGTAAAATTCTTGACCCACTACGGGGCACTAGAAGACAAACTAGAAAGGCATTCCCGCCTCCACCAACGAAATCCCATCCACGCTGTGGAAGCGTAACCCTCAGATAAGGCTAATTGAAGTCATTTGCCTTTGTCCGAGACGAACAAATTGAGCCGAAGCGGTAAGCGAGCGATTTCAGAAGCTATCGTAGTGTGTGGTATTCAAAGATGTCCTAGACTGACTACACTCTAGGACTTACCTAATCTATTTCGCCTTACGACAGCACGACCGAGGCACAAAAACCAGGATTCTGTTAGAGAAGGGCTTGCGTGAACTCCAAGTACACGCTTTGTTACGTCTTAGGGTGGAAGCACGCATCCCACAATCTTGGTATTCCTTTAATTCAAGAGCGCGCTCGCTTCTGTTGTGCAACAGTGCATGCTCCAGAGGTTGATGAATATCATACGCTTATTGTATTCACAGGATAACCGACAGATGCCTGTACGGGAGGGCTCTAAGTTCCCCTGCACGCAGTGGTGTCCGACAAGACTCCTTGCGTCTTGCAAGTTTCGGTTAACTTCGTAAATGGCGAGATAATATACTGGACTGGAGTTTCTACTGTCCACTCCCTTGCGAGCGAGATCAGTGTCAACCAGAATTACGGCGTAGGAAGAAAGACTAACCATGGTCATCCAATCCTTTGACATAGGCTTTGCACCGGAAAGCGTGTCACACCGTCCTGTAAACATATCAGGAGAGACGTCGCAGCACCTAAAATGCACGTTAGCTCTGTTGATATGACAGAACAGGTGGAAATACGGACTGGAAAGTTTATTAGTGTTTCGTCGGTTCCCAAACTGGCTTGTTTTCCTCGGTCAAATCACCGAGTCTCAAAGGACGTGTGTATCAAACTAGTTAGACTTGTACTATTGTACGGTTTGGCCACCTATCTTCATATTGCCAGTTTGCATCCAGATTGTCTGTGTTTATAATAGGTAAGCACTAGGCCTCCGTAGATTTCCCATTTTCTTCCTTTTGTAGTTTGTTTTGGAGGCACAGTTGCATGGCAGCGAATCGTCAGTCATATGCGGACGTTTCTGTGAGTGATGATGATGAACGGGATCAGCCAAGTACTCGAAAAAATGAAGCAGCCGATCCACACCTGTTCGTCCGACAATACTTGTTAGGTTAGGATGCTTGACTTTGATTTACTGGTGTCACTAGACAACTATCTGGTACTCCAACGTTGTTTGACGTAACTGGAGCAAAAGGTCCGCGGTAGCGACAGGAAAATGCAGTAAACTGGCCATCTAACTCAGACCACTGACCTAATGGAAAGCTAACACAACTTTCGTTTTTCCTCTTTTACAACAGATTACTTCATTCCAACAAGTAATGCACGACGATGTGCTTGCGGTATCAACAACCGGACAGAGATTCATACGTCAACCTCGGTCAAAATAAGTTGTGTTCTGAGGATTCGCACACCCTATTTCATCTAGTTATTTTGTGCTAAACAATCTATAAAATCTTTTATCCGTAATCGGCTTTTAACAAGAGAGTTATGAGGGAGAGAAAGTACGAAGTACTAAGGGGAGCTAGACCCTCCCAACGTGAAACTGAGCGACTTTTTTGCCTTTGGTTCCCACCTGACGACTTCAACCTGAGCGCTGCACAATTACCAGTATAACTCTAAGTATCTGTATTCCATATAGGAGAATCCATAAGCCGGTTCAGTAGGTGGTTTAAGATAAATGAAAGCAGCCAAGGAAGCTGAGGAACAAGCGTCTGAAAAGAGATCAGACATTCTGGTGTGATACGTATCTTGTTTGCAAGTCAAACTTAAGTTCGGGCCATCGTGGATTCGTGCGGTATCCCGATAAAAATGAAGCCGACTTATTAGACCACAAGAAATTCGTAAATAAAATTGCAAGCTTAGAACTCAAAAATACAGCACGATAACTTTCATAGGTTTTGAAAAGTATGCAGGATAATAGCTTTGGCGAGGCTATGCGTCAGACGCCTGCAGACATTTGATAAAGATTGGAGAGAGCACCGAGTTGAAAGAACTCGATATGCAGTGCAACATTACGCATTCATAAGAACTCATCAACCACCTGAAAAGTGACTGGCTAGAAGATTATGAGTGAGTAAGCACAATTGATTGACCCTCAAACTACCACTGAAAATCATGGAGAAACGTTGACTCAAGGCTCCATAGGGAGGAGTAACCCGTGATGAACTTGTCCTGACTGGTAGCCATCCAGTAAATGGCATATGAACAAAAGCTATGCTACAACCAGTTGATGATTCAGGCAGTCCATTCATCAAAATTCGCCATAAAGCACTTCAACCTAATTCTATAGTCATACGGGAAAACACAAGCTCACAGTAATAAATGCAGCTACAGCGTGGAGACCCGATAGCCTTAAGAATAGCGGTGATTCAGAGGGATGTGCTGCGGCACACAAAATGAAAATCACGGACAAAGAAGCTGTTCTATTTTACAACGATAGGAAGAAGCGGGAACCAAATATGAAATGTCCCCATCTCAATCAGTCCGCTGACTATTCATGGTCCAAACACACCAACATAGGCGGGACGTAGCGGACGATCGTACAGCTTGTATCCAATCTTCGTTACCACAGCTATGGTGTTTGGTTCTTTACCATCTTGTCGTGGGGCTTGAAAAACGGCTTCGTGAAAATTTGGATCGAACTGATCCCCTTCAGCAGGTTGTATTCGGACCAAGTGGTTCCGCTCGAAGACCTGTTACCAAGCAAGTAGAAAATTGTCATTAGAATACCACACACCATAGAAACTTTAAAAATATATTTTGCCGCAAGTATATCGCGACTGACGTAATCCTCTAGTTTGTACCATTTGGCGGAAGGAGAAACGGCGAACTTTGCAGAACCACTTTGAAATTTACATTCCTAACCGTTTGCGTCGTGGGTACCCTGGGAACCTCCAGAATGACAGTTGAACCCATTTCGCGGTGGCACAGTTTCCTCCATTTTGAACTATATATAATGGAGAAGCTACATACTGTGCTGAAACAGATGCGTCAGGTCAAGATCAATCTAACAGGTGAAAAAATCTAGGCATCGGTTGAACTATACTAAAGCGGCTTCGCTTGACACAAGAGCAAAACGGGTGAAACTTGAAGCAGTGAGTGTCTGCGTTCTGTCAATACTGTTTATTTGTCGAGGTTGACGCATGCATCACACTAACTTGCCAGCATGGAATCGTACAGCTGTAACGCCCTTTCAGTGCCTAGGTTCCATGTCACCCGAAGAAAGCACAAAAGCTAGGACACTGCTAGGTTGACCAAACTTAGACAGGCGAAGTCGAGAGGCAGAGGTCGGGTTTGAATCATGGTAAATTCGCGCTCTAACCACTGAGCCCTCTCACCCACAAGTTTGATCAGTGCTGTAGAAGTGACCCATTCAACCGTGTACTGAAGATGTCTCCTCCGTTTGGAACGAAACGTTTGAAAGCCAATTGCCAAGATCAACGAACAGATCAACTGCCATCTGGTTCACAGCAAACAAACCTACCTAAGCTGCCAATATTTTTACATATTGCCAGTGGTTCACTCTTGCCTAACGGTTAAAATCCAGATGACACTAAGAAAGTTAAATTCAGTAAGTCAGCTCAACAGTACACTGTCCGACAACTTGTTCAGGGCAATCAGCTGCCTGAATTATAAGCATCCGAATACCGCCTCTTATGTTCAGCTTAGCCCATTCGCGTGAATTGTGTGGAGCTCGGTATAACGGCATGGGACCGCGGAATGGAACGTCCGTGTTTCGAACGTAACCCAGGCAGCATGGCAGCTACGCATCGAAATGGTGCCACAGACGAACAGTTTAGATAACAATGTCGCTTCGGTATTCGACAACACATACAGTTATTTCTTCACTAATGTATTTACTGCCCTTCAAAAAAATTTCGTATGCATGTTTCATCTGGACCAAAAAAATAAATCCTTGTCTAAGATGTTCATGAAAACCGAAATTTCCAGGCAAACTAAAGCTGTACCGCAGTACCCTGTGCTGTCAGGCGCCATACAGCTGCTACTATTCAGTGGCTTTAAAACTGGAGGAAACCGCGCATATGTTTTAGATACAAATGATGCATACCTGGAGCATTTGCTGCTCAGTTAATTTCAAACCTTCGTATAGATTGGCAAAGTGAGGATTGACGCCAGGAACCAACTGGTCGGCTGGTGCAGAATTAGTGGCCTTTGTTAGCACATCAGCAACGTCCAAAAGATCTTTGCAGAAGCTTTGTACTGCGAACATTTTTGCCTCATCAATCTGCCGCATAAAACGCTTGCGCATGTTTTCCGACTCGGCAAGCGCCCGTTTATACTTATCTTCCAGTTGGGAATGTGCGGTAGCCAATTTTTTGTATTCTGTCTGGAGGGCTTGCAGATCATTTTCGACATCTAAAATTTTCTTATCTGTTTCGCTTTCTGGCTGAGATGGGGCATCATCCTTCGGACTGCTGCTGAGCTTTGAGCTAATTAGTCGACTGGAAGAAATAGATCAACATATATTTTACCTACTGTGGTTGAAAACGCGTTAGCCGTACAAGGCAGGACAGAGCAGTTGTTCGACTGATAGCCATACTTGCGTAGATGGGACACAATAACCCAAAAAAGCTTGGTGTCAATTGGACAGCTGAAGCGATAAGCAACGTTAAAGTTTGAAAGATACTGACAAGGACTGAACACAAGTAAATTAATTTATCGGGGAAAACTGATCCGATTCGCTGGCAGTTCAAATGACCAGCCAACACCCGTAGCTTTTGCGGCCCTTCCGTGTTTGTGGTCTGTCCCTCGTTTAACAGCTACTCCCGCTCCTGGTTGAAACATGCAGTGCTGTTTCTAGATAGTTTAGCATAAGCAGCGTCCAAAGCGTTTTGACCTCACATTGGGGCTAAGTACATAGTACCGCAAGACAGCACACGGAACTTAGCTAGGTGACAATAACCGTCCGTTCATTTAGCAGTTCAAGGGAGCTGCAGAGCCCGACGGCAACTGGTAGGACCCGTCTGTACCGGCGGAGCACTCACTGGGCTAAAGTCACTAGGGTCGTAACACTTTACGGGAAGCGCAGTTGTCAGCCACAAATTCATCACACTATATTGACACTGACACCAGTGTTTATCTATTAGGATGTCCTACTTATATGTGGGTACACTCCTTTGACGGTCAACATTCTATTTGTTAGTACGAGACGTGTCAAATGGACGAGAAGGGCTGCTGGACGAAAACATTACAATATCAAGCGTCCAACACTTGTTCATCAATGTATGGGGCCTGGATCCTGTTGGTTGCACTATGCCAGAGCGCCCAGTATCTTGCTAGGCTGTGGACCGTACATTCCTGTAAAAGTCAACACGGAAGACATCGTCCGAAAGGGACCTCAGTAGACGGTTTCGATAGATTCGTTTCACATCGGAGTCCGACGGGTTCCTAATGATCAGGTGATGTGCTTGCAACTTAAGAGCCCCTGAAAAGCAGCAACAAAGAAGGGCGTGATCGCAATCTACATAAGTGTTCCGAAACGAGCAACAATCTGTAATTTACCCACTGCTCTTATAGCTAATGGTGTTGTGGTATGTCTATACTAGAGGTTGGCCCGCATGTGAGGGGGTGCATATGGCTTCATCATTATCAGCTGTAAGAATCGCGAACTTACCGTGTCGTGGTTACAGCTGTCACAGTTTCGTTCACCGATGATTTGGGGGTGTATAAGGTAGCTGCGCATTGAAGCGGTAGCTGATACACTGATTTTCAAATACAGGGCTGTCAGTGCACTTGTAGCGACCCAGTCACCCATATACTTGACTGTTCAACTCAATCGCTCACTGGATCGCGAGGCTTGTCTATTTTCTCATACGCACAAACACGTCGCATTAAGCTGACACATCGGACATCGATTGTCTGCACCGCCTAGTCAGCGTAGCATCCACTCATGTGCCGACGGGCCCACATACACGCACTGGGACCTACATAAAGGCAAACCGAACCCAGTCAAGACACACAGACTCGCGCGCGCGGAGGGAGCAGGATGTCAACCTCTCCACAAGTCCACGGACCACCATGGAGTACGTGTAGCAGTCTAACTGCGGAGAAAAACACGTTCCCGCCGTCCGGACTTCCACCTGTGCACTAATACACTTTCACGTGGGGGAGATTGGGAAGGGAGCTGTGAGAACATTCAGCTGTAGCACCCTTCCAGTGCCTAGCTGCCATGCCACCCGAAGGAAGCACGAGGGCTGGGATACTGCCCGGTTGCCTGAGACTAGACAGGGAAAGTCGAGAGGCGGAGGTCGAATTCGAACCACGGACCTTCCGGTCAGTAAATCCTCGCTCTAACCACTTGGGCCATCTCGCCATCTCGCATTGAAGGCAATATCTTAAATGAACAAGCGCCGTTGAGAGCGAGACTCGGCCATGTCTGACAATGTCTCTAACCATTGACGTGGCCCGTCTTGGGGTCTCCATCCAGGGAGACGGCAATAACCAGCGCATCTGAGTTTGCTGGTGATGACTTTCACACTCACCGCCAAATCACTGTTTGACCTCCCCTGGTTCATTTTCACCCTTCACGTGGTTGCGCGAAAACAACTCTTCAAAGAAGTCCTTCGATTGATATACGGAGCACGTGGCAAAACCATTTCAACCTATGCAATGTGATCAGAATATCCATCGTAGGTGAGTTATTTCTCCCGAATACCATTCGACTGGTGTTCTCACCAGACTCGGACAATGCCCTGAAGACATCAATGGTCAGTCACTGAAATACTTTTGACGTCCTTGGCGCGCAGCGACCAGGTTTCTGATCCGTATAGCGCCGCAGATTTGCAAACTCGACCCCTGGCGGATAAGCTGATGTCACGCCTAAGCCACAGGTGACGCAGGTCCACAAAGGCTGCTCTGGCCTTCCAAATCCGGAGAGAAATGTCATCTTTCGCGAGACCACCGGAACTGACACAGCTGTCCAAGTAGACAAACTTGTCTACTACCCCATTCGTAAGCATGAGGTTAGGATTCGAGTCCATCCAGTCTTGCTGGTTTGGAAATTGGTACAGCATAGAAACAGTCTGTGGTCAGCGCGTAACTTCAGCAGGCGTTTGCCGTCGTCCGGGCGTCTTGATTTCTATCCCATACCACCACCCAACTGAACCTCAGTTGCGTTAAGTATACCTACTTGAGCAGTCATATCTCCGGCACTCATAACAGCTGAGCTCTTAGCCCGCAGCAACACGGCGTTCAAAGCGTTGTAGAAACTGTCTTTCAGTGTAGCAGAGCCACAGCCTGTTAGGGTGTACGCAGACACGATGGACAGACAGCGATAACTGGCACGTTTACGGGATGCTCTCACAGACGTTGCAAGCGAACTGCACAGGGGCGAGATAGCTCGAGGTAGCTCAAGCTAGTTTATAGGTTAAGGCACCAGCTTAGAGTCTAGAAGGTCCGTAGTTCGAACCCAACCTCAACATCTCGACTGCTCTTGTCTAGGCTTAGGAAACATGGCAGTATCCCAGCCCTCGTTCCTTCTTCCATTGGCGCTACAGCTGAGCACTGAAAGGGTACCACAGCTGAAAGATTTATTATTTACAAAGGGATGACTATTAACGGGCAACCATTCAAACAGAGATTCATCGGCTCGGTGGATTAGAACAATGTCAATTCCAACAGAACCAGCAGAGTTGCTTCTGGATCATTGCAGGAATACAAACAGAAGCGAGAGGAAACCGAGGTCATTTCAAAAGCCCTACTTGGGTCATGAATCCTCGTTTGAGAGACGACATACATCAACAGAGATTGAGTTCAGCGTACGAGTGCGAACATTCAAGGGAGCAAATGAGGTGAGTCGAAGTATCTGTAACTTGGTGACTTCCGGTGGCCGAAGGAAAATGAATTGTCAGGCAGGCTCATAGCATAGCGTGATCGGAACCACACTATGTGCCTCAGAAGGGACGGCAATCTTGAATGGGTGCTCTCCGACGGTGGATGATAGCCATGTGATTCGGTTGGGTTTATATTTGATTTGAACTCGTGGCTGCCAGTTTGTGTGCGTAATAAACGTGATGGCTGTGTACGACACGATCTAATTCATACGATCTAACTCGATCTAACACGATCTAACTCATACATATGAACAGTTTCAATTGAGCCAGCGTGGTTGGTGAAAATGGTGACAGGATTGCGAAGTTTGCCTCCGTTAATCAGCTGTCTGCAACCGATACCCTTCTAAACAAGTAGAACGTTTACTGACGTATCATCCAGAAGAGGATCACAGGGCCTCCTCGATAGGATATATTTCTATGAGCGTACGATGAGCCAATCAGGTGAATATTACGGATTCTATGGGAAAACCCTTGGCTGTGCGCAGCCGAATTAAGAGTCAGACGGTTGTTTAATACTCCCTGCACCACCGGGCAAAACTAGCCCCCTCCCCAGCCTAGTCAAATGATCCAGGCTAATAAGTCGGCGGCACTCACCTACAGCCCCTACCCATTCATCAAATAACGTCCATCTGCTGGTCCACTAACCACTGTTGTATGTTTAAACTATCGCCTATCAAAATAAGCCGCAGCAGTCCCTTACTAGACTCCTGATCGGCGTTGCAGTCTTCAGTGTCTCTAATCTCCGTCCAAATGAGCAATAACATTCCTTGATAAAACCTCGCCTTCCTTTTCTGCCTTTTCTGTCTCCAAAACACGCCCGTGCACCTCGAGCCGCATAAGACAAGTTCGGATGTTTCACGTCTCATCCTTCATGTGCCTGGTGATCTAGGGTGTAATATCTATGGTGTGAGAATTGCGTTCAGTCCCAAGTCCGGAAGTGTTTTGCTGAGTCGGATTCCAGTAAAAAGTCCTCTGTGGGCTGTACGTGTCTGGCTCAATTGATAATAATGATGGTCCGTGCGGCAGGTGGTATTCTTTGTGTCAGCATTCACCCCAACAGACCGCGGTTCCGAATCCGATGAAAAGTTTTACCCAGATCCGTCATGAATACTGCGGTCAGAAAGAACGGATATGGGCAACCTGACGGCTGATAAAAACACACAAGTTGGACAACCACGACCGGAGGCAGCACAGGTGGGTGGCAGAACTGGAGTCAATGCTCAGTATATGGACGATGGGGAGCAACTGCTTCCGTTGTGTTCTGAGCATTTTCTGTTCCTAACCAGTACAAGCTTTCAGTCCTTTAGTTGCTTGAAGGACACCAACCACAGCCCAGTCGTGGCTTGTTAAATCATCACGCCCGACCTAAAGCTGCTACCTCGACGTGGTGATCGGGCTTGAGTGCTGCAATGATCCCGCGGGCTACACTGGCCGGAAGTTTCTTCCAGAAGGTGCAACCATGCCAGGAAGGCCAAAGGGGAGCAGCCAGACCAAGAGCAGCGAGACCCCGTACTACGAGTAGTCGTGCTACGAGGCGGTCTGGGGGTAAAGTCGTACTGTCCTCTGCGACAGGAGTGTGAAGACAGTAAGGTGTTTCCCCCAAGCGACCAGCATGTCCATATTTATGGAGGCAGCGATGCTGCCCTCCCCGAGGAGGGACGGGTTAGAAAAGGTCGGCCCCAAAAACCGCACTCCGATCACCCAACGGTTGATCGTGATCGCCAGCGTATTATCCAATACGGTCAAAATACTTTTAAAACCAAAGAGCTCGGTGAAGCTAACAGCACTTGCCGCCTCTCACGAAGATTCTAGCACGACCGTGTGGATAACCATACAAATACAGTTGTACTGATCTTCATTTGTCTCCATAAACGCCTGTCTCAACCTATGCCATAGTGCGCGCAGCTGGTAGCCGAGGACCGACACCGAAATTGCACCACCGTCAACAGTATACCCGTGTCGAAACACTTGGTCTGCATAATCTGTCTCAATCAAGTTGGTCCCAAAGGATTGGTTCGCTCTTAGGGAAACATTATCAAAACAAAACTTTCCTTGCAGCGAAACCCTCACTAAAGCCATCACTCGACTGTGCACATCAATCGCAACGGAAAGGCTCATCACCCCCTCCAAATATGACATACTTTGTTCTTCGGAGTGGTAATAAACGTAAGGTTATAGTAGTGAGTGCACTAGTAATCGAAATCTAAGGCCCTCAAAGCTGGCCTTTTCTTGATTGTTCTTTTACCAACCGGGGAAGGCAGTATGCGTGCATTTGTAGACGCAGATCCCCAAAACGAGCAACTTACGACCTTGGTGTTTCTCCATTCCGCCTCATGATAAGTTTTCTTACGGTACACAGGTCCTGTCGCTCTTTGTCTGACTGACTTGAGTTGCCGGGTGATGAATACAGTCAAAGAGTCCAGTACTTCAGCGTGTTCACCTTATTTCCTAGCTATCGTATTTCCATCCGGATTGGAAAGGCCAGTGCAGCTTTTGTGAACTACGTCACCTGCGGCGCAGGCGTGACATCAACTTCTCTGTCAAGGGTCGAGTTTACAATGCTGTGGTGCGCTCCATATTACTATATGGATTAGAAACCTGGCCGCTGCGCGCTGAGGATGTCAAAAGACTTTCAGTGTTTGAAGAGCGATGTCTTCGGAGCATAGCCCGAATCTGGTGGGAACACCGGATCAGCAATTCTGAAGTACATCGAATGGTATTCGGGAGAAATAACTCACCCTCGATAGATGAACTGATCACACTGCATAGGTTACGCTGGCTTGGTCACGCGTTGTGTATGCCAGTCGACCGATTTCCTCGAAGGGCTCTTTTCGCACAACCACGTGAAGGGTGGAAGAGAGCTGGAGGCGGTCAAACAATGACTTGACTTACCAGCAAACTCAACTGCGCTGGTCATTGCCGTCTTCCTGGATGGGGACCCCGAGACGGGCCACATCAATGGCTAGAAACATTGTCAGACATGTCCCAGCCGCGCCCTCAATGGCGCTCGTGCATCAGAGCTATTGCCTTCAATGCATAGCTCCTTTTCCAACCCCCCCCCACTTGACGGCCCAATGGCAATGCTGGATTTATGCACCAATTTATCAGCTCCCGCCTGCAATGCACAGCTATCTACCCCCCTCCAAATCATCGGTGAACGAAACTGTGGCAGCTACAACCACTGTAAGACGAGTAGGCGGTTACTACAGCTGACAATGATAATGATGATGATGATGAAATCACACGGCTGTAATTTACCGGTAGAGTAACAATCAAAGATTGCCGTTACTTCTGAGATGAACAACTGGACTCTCGTCATTATTGGTTATCGCTTCGTCTTAGGTCAGCACTGAGTGTCGAAGTAGAACAGTTCTGATCATCAAATTCGAAGAGTTTCGGTGGCTCGGCAGCATCGAACTAGTCTGAATGGAAAACTATTAAAAGCGCACCATCATCATCATCATCAATGACAGCAAAATCAGTGTTGGCACTGATGCTTCACTACCGTACAACCATAAAGTTCGTTTGTATATATATATATATATATATATATATAT